CGTAGGCACAGATTGTCACACCTGAACTAGAGGACACAGAATCCCTGTGAACAGATTCTGAATTCATCTCTACTTCAGATCATAAAGGGAACACCCCTATAGAAAAGCCAATAATGGCATTTCAACATTTTGTTTTGCACTGCCAAATTACATATTTTAAAATACATCTATAAAAACTGCAGATCAATCTCAGTGCAGGTAGCCCGAAATAGTCCCGAATACGCATTTTCTTACTTCTAGCAAGCCACAAATCAGTTCCTCAGAAACTGGAGTATTAACAGAATCCAGCTCTTTTTAGCTCTTTTTTCAAAAACCTTTAAGGAAAACAATCTACCTTGCTGCAAAGCAAAGGTGAAATTAGCTCTACAAACTAATCTTTCAGATTGGTCAGCTTGAGTTAAAACGTTAAAAATATTAACTCGATTTTGGGATCACAGCTCTTCCTCACCTTGACTTCCTTTTATTAATGTTAAATAAAAGGAAGTCTGTTTCTATGTGAAAATACATTGTAAAGTGTTGTTACAATTGTCAATACCAAACACTGGTAAGTTGCAGAATTTGCGGTATCTCTTCACAAAAGATACAGTAATAAAGACCAAACAGGAATAAATAGCAGTTTGTCTTTGACTTCAGGCCCATCATCCTCACCCCATAAAAGCAAATCTTTCCTCACTGTACAAAAGGGTTCACAAGATAAAGTATGACACAAATATTAAATTAAATAATTTACATATTTTTCTTAAAGCACCTCTGTAATATAATTTAGTGAAAGTTTATACCTTGCAATTATATTCTTGTATTTTACAAATTGAAACAAGAAATGGTATTACATTAAATTAAAATAATCCCACAATACATAATAATATCAATAATCTTAGATCAGACCCACATATAATTTAAATCTTTAGTAAAAGAAGGATAATAAAGCTGATTAAACCTAGATTAAAAAAAAAAATTATATGCAACTGATTATCAAGAAAGCACTTGAGATACAAGCAAGCACCAGATACCACACAACACCTTACATTTCAACACTTACTAAAGGATTTGGGTTTTCAGGGAAGGCCCATCATTTGTAAGACCTTATGCTTAAGCAACATCACAACAGCTGCAAATGCATTTGCTAAGTGTAGTTGCAGATTTTCGACTAAGTAACAGGGATGCTTTTAAGGAGAGACAGAGCTGAAATTGTTCCTCTTCAGACACAGCACAGGCAGCTACAGTGTAATCCCCTCCAACTGCTTTGTCGGAGATGGTGCGTAAATCGTCCAGGCTTTCCATTAGAAATAAGGAGGAAATTCAGATTTCATAGTAGGTGACCCAGCTCTCACAGTGAATAAATCTCCCCAAGTTTTAGCAGTTTGAATAAACAAACAAATGTTTAGATGCTTATTATAAGCTCTTTGATTTGCAAACTTGTGCTAGCTCTCTCATGAGAACAGACTTAGTGCAACTGCTGGTATTTCCTAAATCTGTGTGGGCCAGAAATAATGCAAAAATATGCTCTTTGGCAACATTTCAGCTTTCTAGCAGCTGGCTAGCCAGAGCACAAAGGCACGTGGAAATGGCAATTAAATAAAAAAAGAAGAGTTCTTTAAATGCAAAGAAAGATTCAATTTCTGTAAGTGGAAAACATTCATATCTATTGGCTGCCAATTTGTGTTTAAAAGAAAAGTGGGATTCTGAAATTTAAAAAAGTACAAGGTAATTTTTTTTAAGTGGCAGTTGTGCGCTGTTACACTGAAGACAGCACACCTTTAAAGAAAATATTTAAGAAGGAGATAAGTGACCGTCAGATTTTCCTAACACTTGACACAAAACCTTCCTTTTTTTTTTCTTCCCCCTTTGTCAAAGTACCCAGGGCATTCCAATAAATAAATTTTAAAAACCCCAAACAACCCTCAAAAATAAGCTGTAGGTTTGTTGAAAACTTAAGTCGTACCATTGTTTCCTAGGATTTTTCTCTATCCATTTGTTGTCTCTTGTCTTAAGCTATTTGTGGCTACCTGGTTGCTAACCAGAGTTCTTCAGTACTATGGCAGTAAAATAAATTATGTTGATAAGAATCAGATGAAAATTATACCTAACAAGCCAGTAAATCTTTAACAGTTTTTTAATCCTAAAATCTGATCACTATTTCCCTCCTTACAATGGGTATTTTAAAATACTAGATGATCTGTACAAGGTGGAAATGCTGAAGGCTCCTCAGTGATACACCTCAAACTAGTTCAGATTGCAAACTTCAAAAAAAAAAAACCAAGCACAAACTGAGTCATTTTGAAATCTAATTGGCAAAACCCTGCTGCAGTCACCCACTGAAGCAGGTAATGTAATGTACTTCGTTAAAGGTGTAATGCAGAACTTAACACTGAAGAAGTGAATTGTCTGCCCTGTGTCAGCCTTTGCAGGGACTGTGGGCATATGCATAGTGCAGCAGTGTGGGCAGTGGAATCTGGCCAGGATTTTAGGCTATGTTAACATCTTGTTCACATTTCTGTAATTCCGAGATGCGTTCTTTCCATTTTTTTTTCATTAAAGGTCTGCAATTTAATTTAAAACAGAAATCAAACTTCAGTGTCCAAGGAACTAGTCAAAAGATGCTTGCTGGTTTTCAAATAACAAAACAAAAGGATCTGGAACAGGAAAAAATGCAAATTATGCACTTTCCTAATGACAATAATAGGAACCTGTTACAAGCAGCTGCTAATATAGCTAAATGTTAGGCCTTCCACTGAATGATGCTGTTTGCAATTCTTTATAGTTTTGCTGAGAATTTAAGTATTTGTTATTAAATTTTCCATGGTTTTTTAAGGTTTCAGTAAAGTGTTTTAGCCATGTTTGAGAACAAGAGCAGGAAAAATAGTTTTTGTCCACGATGACTGTGCCTGATTTTCCTGAGAAACTTCAGCACACCCCAACTATGGAACACAACTTTGAAATCTGAGCTTTGGGGGGGGGGAATCAGCTTCTACTTCTTTTAGAAGATAAACTTAAAACAGTTGGTTATGAGAGTTTCAGTATGCCATCACAGAACAGCTGATATGTTGACAGGGTTTTCTGAGTAACCAATATTGTGTATCTGTTATTACAATGCTCAGTGTCTTATGCCTAAACCCCACAGTTCCCTAGTGAAACATGGCTGACTTGCAGAATAAAGCAGCATCATTGCTCAAATCCTCTTCTTATTTATGAGGGCACACTATGTACTGCTGTAAGACACAAAAGACAACCTATTTCTCACCTGCTGTTTCCCGGTAAGAGCAACTATCTTCTCTTAATGAAATGTTAGAAATAGCTGTAACGTTAAGGTCTATTCTTCCTGTTGCTGACTAGTGACAGAGAAGGAGAGAGAGTTTTGTGCACATGTATTTATTGTTTTTATCCTGCCCCAGCTGGTCACCAAATGTGAGGCCTATGCTTCAATATTTTATGCTAAATATATCTGACACTAAAGCCTCTGCTAATGACCACTGTCTGGATAAATACCAAATTGCTTTTAAACCTGTAATTTATCCAGTGTCTAGCCATGCCAGCGGGCCTGTAAAGAAACAAACGTTGTGTCTAAAGTAAGAATCAATGTGATGCTCTCACTTCATTGATCTTACTTAGTTCTTGCAGTGAAGGTTTAAGATTCTGAAGTCTTCAAATGTGCTACAATAAAATAAGTACAAAGTGTCCTCCTACACCACTGAAAGCTTAACTACTGTGAAAATGCTAAGATTGGCTCCTGAGATCTTCGTGTTATGAAACAAGCAGTAAAATAAGGAAATAATAATGTGAAGTGACCATATTAAAAAAATTAAAAGAAAAAGAGAGAGCACAGTGCAACTAGCACTTTTGTGTAGTACCCTCTGATAAAAGATCCTGTAAAATGGCAAAGTCGAGCAATTTCCTTATGGCTTATTTTACATCAGGCAGGAGTAAGTACCATTGTAAAGTCATAGTTTGCTCTCAGGAACATGATAAACTTACTCTGTGCTCTCTTTCATAATATTACACAATCGACACTTACAAACACTGTTCTTGGTAATATTGTCACTTTATCCACTATGGCTGTATGGACAAGGACAAAATTTGGTGAAATATTCTAGCTAATACTTATATCGACAAGGCCTAAGAAGGAATAAAAGAAATATATCCAAGTGGATAGCTGGAAAAAAACCAACAGTGTACTCATCAGAAATGTAAACATGTCCAAAGAACTCTACTGCCAAGATATTTGTCGAGAAAGAAGGTGCCTTTCCTATACAATCATTTCTTCAGAGTAAGCTATCACTGCACTAGAATGCTGTGCAGTTGAAATTCTTTTCTCTGGGCTAGGATCAGATTTTTCAGTCTCTCCAAAACTTCTGCTAACTCAAAATAGTATTTTTAAGTTCAAAACCGCATCTTGAGCTATTACAAGTTCTCCAAAATACATATAGTATGGCATATTTTTCCTCAGAAACATTTTCATATTTCCTTAAAACATTTTTGAGAAAAGGGTTCCATCGCTTTACCACATTTACTCTTCAAGAAACACCTGAATGGAGAATCTCTTCTGTATTTTAGATAACTCTTCAGATTTTATTTCATTTCATAAAAGAACCACCTTTTAAACACGCTAATCCTAAGGTATACTAACGTAACACTATATGAAGCTGTACTGCATTTCATGGAATTAAAGCAGCAGCAGATCAAAGGTCTTTCAAATTTTTCAGAAGTGTATGTACAGTAATGTCCAACCACTTGATACACCTAGGCTGACTGCTGTAAGAAAAAGTGTTAGTTGGTTCTCAGTAATTACTGTTAGCCAAAAGTGCATAATCTTTATGATTGTGCATATACCTGGAGAGAATTTGCTGAATTTGTTATATTAATTCTAAAATGACTAAGCCAAGAGGAAATACAATTTTGTTCATGTCTGTTACTTAACATTCTGATTTATTATACAAATATGTATTCCTTACCAACCTTCAGATTTCCAAATAAAAGAACCATTGTAAGACACTTCATGAGCACTATAATCAGTATTTTTCTGCAGAACTCTTTCAAAAGAGGACAAAAGATCCCAAACCAAAAGAAGTGTAACACTCCAGTTACTCAGGTTTTAGATTTTTCATGCTCTGGACTGAGTGAACAGCAGGTAACTGTGCAAGTAGTTTTGCTCCCATCTGTTATTAGTATTGCTCTTGTCTTTAAATATTGTGGAAAAAAGTACTAAAAATCCTTAATACATATCCCTGTAGATTTCCTGTAGTAAAGGGTGTAAATGTGCATCAGATTCAGTCTTCTTAATTATCTGAACAAGTTGAGCATGCTCTGTGACAAGTTGCCGGAGGTCAGCCATTTTTTGGAGAAGTTTCGGGAAGAGGAAGATGTCATCAGGATGGTTGGTTTGCAAGTGAAGTTTCAATACGTGCACAATGCTCTCTTGCATTTTTTCAATGTGTCCTACATTTACAAGACCGGGACGATCTGTTCTCAAAACAAACAAAAAATACATGTAATAATTTTGTAATTATTCTTTGAAGTAGGCTACTTTATAGATTCGATATTGTAGGCTACAGTGTAATTTATATTATACACCGAGGGCAAAGAGGCTCAAACTGAATCTTTTAAAAAAAAAAAAAAAAAAAGGAAAAAAAAATAAAGCTTGGCCAAAGTTTTTCTCAATGCCCACAGTTACTTGAGGAGAGATTTCATACTACGAAATACAACTCGTGCTACAAAAAAACCCCCAAACCACAGCACCCTCTCACCCCCAAAAACCAGCTGAAGCATCCAGCCTAGAATCCAGTTCCATATTCTATATGTCCTGCTAACAGAATTCAAACAGTAAGGATGGAGAAAAAAAGCATGTGGCTATTTCTAGAGAGTTCTTGATTGGTAGCAATACAGCAAGACATAAGTAACAAGCTTTCACTCTTGGTTCCTGTATGTATATTGCCGTAGCGCAAGTTACTAACACGTTACTCAAGCACCTATTAAGGATGTTTCACACTTTCTAGCATATGATCTCATTTTCAGCTACCTACAGTCTTGTAATACCTTCACTCTCCAGATCAAACTTCTCTCTAAGAAGTCTGGGACAACAGACTAAATATGTTTATTGAAAACTTAAGCTAGTTCTAAGGAGAAGGACAGAGGAAAAAAAAAAAACCAAACCAAAAAAACATTTGCCTGCGAAGAACTCTCTTGACTTTTGAAATTAGCTAATTTAATTAGCTAAGTGAGCTGGTGTTTTTAAAATAGCTTGTGATATTAAAATCAGAACACGGGAAGTGCATCAGAGTTGTGCATTTGTACAGAACTCATTACATGATGCAATCAGCAAGTGTCAAAAATGAGCAAAGCTATAATCTGCACCTGCCTCCAGTCTCATTACATAGTATTTTTCTGCCTGTTTGGCACATAGAAATACTGTTTCCAACCCAGCCTTAAGCATAAAAAAAAATAAAAAAATCCTCCAAACCCCAAACAGAACCCCCCACCAACACTCTTCACATCCCACTTTTAAAAACAGGCAGTAACTCTCTGAGGCTAAACAGTAATTCCAAGCATGTCTACAATTCTGCAAAGCAAAATACAGAATCAAGACTGTTAACAGTTACACGCTATCTTCCGTGAAACATGCTAAAAGGGAAAATGACACTGTTAGCGGTAGAATTGAATCTTTGAGGAATTTATAAGCTTTTCCATCAAAATTATTAATTCACGTGAATAAAATTTTAAAACTTACTACCTTAAAGAACAAATATGTAGTGCTTACCTCCACAGCAAATGATAGCCGCAACAAAAAGGGATATATCGCTATCATCCAGTTCCAGTGCATTGAATTTCATTGCAAAATCAAATTTTGGCTCCATTATATCACAGAATGGCTTCCTCAGGCTTTTCAGGAACTCCCGGGTTATAAAACCATTTCCATAGGCTACCAGCATCCCATCCTTGTTCATCACAGACGCTAACATGGCAAATATGGCTTCATAAACTCCATATTTTAACAGTGTCACTTGATCATTCAAGTCAAGATTGGAAAAGCCAGGGATAGATTTGGCAAATTCAGTAAGTTCTGTGACAGTCTCTACAGATGTACACTGGCAGCAGTGAAAGATTCGAACTTCTGCTTCCTTGTTCTGAATTCCATTGGCTACCAATTTTGCCACCAGGGTCTTCTCTGCCATACACAAGGTATCCATATCATGAATAACAAATGGCTACAGAGAAAAAAAATACTAATTCAGTTACAAAATAATGCTTATTTATCACTGGTTTCCTAAAGAATAGGGATTTTGATAAACTTTGACCTTCATGCTAATCAGCCTTCAGCTGGCAATAAACCATGATTTCTTTTAACATTTCTACATAAAGACAATCCACGTATTACAGAACTACAAACCACAGAATCTAAGAACAAGTCTGCTCTGCAAACAACAATGCAAATATTAAAATGTAAGTACGTATGACACCTCTTTATTCTAGTTTTATGTAGCAGTTATAGTGAAGATCCAGAAGTACTGTGCTTAGTATGCATATATCCACTTCAGAGCAAATCCCAGCAGGTTCACAAAAGACTTGTACTACTTTCTCCAGAAGTCCAGGTTATTCTGCCTACGCTCCTATCAATTCCTAAACTAACTACACTTGATGCACATCATGATGCTTTCCTGACATATCCTAGGGGCAATACAGACAGTCATTTAAATATAGGACAGCATATTTGCACAAGAGTGTGAACCCTCTACCACTCTTGTATTTTATTATCAGATTTCCAAAGACTATGCCCCAGCTGATCTTCCCCAGAAGTTCAGCTCATCTTTCTATCTACAGTCAGTGCTAAGTCATCTCTAAACCCAGAATCCCACTAGAACGTCAGCAAACATAACATTTCAGTCTTGATTTCCATAACGCCCTTCATTTAAAAAGGTACGAGCATTACAAACTGATGAGCCAGTCTCTTAAAACATTGTATAAAAAAAAGCAGACTTTCATAATAACAATCAGAACTCAAAAATGTTTTGATACATATCTGAAGAGCAGTAATGAAAACAGAGGACAATCCACTAAAGAAAAACAACAAAACCCAATGCTTCCCAGCCTACCAAAGTCACAGCAATTGACCTTGAAATTGAATCTAGTTCCATAAATGCTAAGCAAAGCACCTTCCCTGTGCTGTTTTGCTCATCTCAGATTAAATATTACGAGGAACACTTGGTGTTCTGTTGGAAACTCATAGAATTCATTTATTTCACTTAGGAAACTCTCAGACATGCTAGTTTCCCACAGTTGTCCACTTTTTAAATGCTTATGGCAACTACACATTCCACCTCACTTCAGTACTTAAGAGTTATACAGAACAGAACTTTCTATGTGCATGTGGATATGAGCGGAGAGTGGCAAAGCAATAAACCCACCAGATTTCTAAGTCCTTTAAAAGATATAGACTATCTTATAAATATTTTCAGAATTTATCATCATTTCACTATGCAGAAAATAGGTACGGCCAAGGACTTAGGAGCTAAATTTAAAAATGGTATCCTGTCATCATGAAAAACGCTAGTTCATTCTGAAATGAATTATAGTGGTGCCAAGAATTAGGGTTCACTGAAATCAGCTGTTAATGCACTGTTCAGAAACAGGTGGATTACTAATTACCAACAAACCCCTCTCTTCTTTTTATTTTTTCTGTTAAAAAGTCAAAACAAGTTAAAATGTCTGTTTTCCCAAGAGGTGATGAAATAGCTTAAAAACCCCTCTTCTCTTCCCTGCATATTGAAGAATGAGAAAGCAGCCTGTTTATAACATACTAGGTCTGACTCCTCATTAATTTTTACTTGTAAATTCACCAAGACATGTGCAAGCCATTATTTTAGCTAGTCAATCAGATCACTATAATCTGAGAGCCTTGATCACATAAATGCAAACACAAAAATTAGGATGCAGTGATCTAGAAACCCTACAGGTACAATACATATTGTAACTTATGATTCTTTTCAAGCTTGTTACCACATGTCAGGACTTTATGCAGATACCTACTTGGTAAGGCGTTAAAGCATGGTATTTACTGTAGGCTTATGTCAGCTTGTACCCCCCAAAAAGTTTAAGCCTGTGCTTAATTTTATGCATCTCTTTAATCCAATGAAAAAGACTGGGATTATTCATATGTATCTCTTGTAATGTAGAAGCCTGTATGCTTGGCTAGACTAGACTAAACTATAATATGCCAAATTCCATAATTTAGAAGACAGCTTGCTTACAATTTTTTATAACTCATCCCCACAGTTACATGGGTTTTATTACGGCATATGTAAAATCTCTTCCCTGCAAATTTTTACTGAAATTAAAATTGTTGGTAAAATAAGATACTTATCTTCTACATATAATTAACATAAATCACAACAGAATTTAAAAAAAATATGCATAGTGAAACAAGTCAGTCCTGACAATGGTTATACAATCTCATGTGCTACAAAACAAAAAGCAGTTGATAGTATTATGTAGACTTTGGCTAAATTATCTTGAAAGAAAAATAACCTCTACATCATACGTGTCTTCACAACCTTGCTTGCTTCTCCCTTTCAAAGTAACTGTACAGTAAAGACCAGGAAAGCTGGGTGAGGAAATAGCCAGAACTGTAAACAAGAATTACCAACTCAAGTTTCTTCCCCCTCCTGCCATTAATATACTTGTGATTAAAACAAAAGTCATACAGAGTCCCTAAAATATATCAGTATTTATCTTGGCATTTGTGGCAGAAAAACATTACAATTTTTTTTTCACTGTCATAATAGTAAATTAATTTTGAACTATTTCCCCCACCCATACCAAGAGGTATTCACATTCACTTTTTTTGATTAAGAATTAATTTTCTTTCCCTTGTGTGTCTACTATAATTTAAGGTTACGAGCTTCCATTTACAATTAATCACCTGATTTTCCTAAAGTTTCCTATTCTTTTGATAGTGGCTAAAAGCAACCATATTTACTACAGGTATTCTTTTTGCATATTTCGTGTCTGTATTAGCATAATATTTATTTGCTTACGAGTTTAACAAATTATTATAATCACCTTACGTACTTGCCAGCTTTACTTTAAGGTTACAGCAAAAAGTACTTACTGGATTGTTATTAGTTTTCCCTGCAAGGATGATTCTGGCTTTAACCTTGTTCATATTGAAGTTTTTCAGGTAAGCATCATGAATTCTTTTGGCAAGTGATTTAAGATCTGCCATTTCCGAATCTTCTACATAATTTTCACCTGTTAGAATTTCTGCTTTCAACTTGGCCTTCTCAGACCTTGGCATTCGTCCAAAACGTATTGCTGATGGGAAGACATAGTTGTAAAACAAACATAAGTTATACAAAAATCTATGGCTTTTACGGTTGCTGATTAGAGCAGTAAGACTGTCTGTCTAGAAAAACTAAGATAGGGGTAGTATCTTTATTATGATAAATTCATGAGTGAAAAAAACTCATCAGTTTTAACACAGTGACTAATTATCAAGACAATATGCTAAACAGAAGGTAATCAGATGTTTCAAAGCACAAACTGGTATCTGCAATGAGCTAGAATGCATGCCTTGTCCCTTCTACATTACCTAAGTAGTTGTGTTTTGTTTTCTCCATACTGTGTTCTACAACTCCCAATGTGAAACTCAAAGTCCACCTTGGGAATTCTAAAAAAAACCTGAGTGAACTCATGTCAGGAGCTTGGCAGAGAGCACACACACCAGCTGGAGAGCTGCCTGGGGAGTTACTCCACAGGGAACACTTCAACGGCGTTGGGCCTGAATCCCATTGCTGATTCTGAACCTGCTGGGGTAAAAAAGTTCTTATGCATTGAGTGTTGAGTTCAACATATCTCTACTGTCTAGTGAGAACAAAACAGACCAGAGACTCAGATTTATGCTCAAAGGCTACAGTCAACAAAACCTCCTCCTAGACCCAGTATTTTATGCTTCTTTTTCAATAGGTTAGCCCTTCAAGACTGGAGAGGATAAGAATAGAGTTTGAGTATCCAATCTAGTCATTAGGATATTCTTTTGAGACACAGGAGATGAGAGTTTGAAACACTGGATATGGAGGTCTCCCAGTTCTTGGGCAAGTGGTCTTGCCATTTAGCAATAAAATAGGCATGTCCACATCCTTATTCAGTTTCAGTTTAAAACTAAACCAGCTCCATTTTAAAAGGGGCGTTACCCTCTGATGGTGTGCAAGGTTTTGAGATGGCTAATACAACTGGTTACTCTTACCACATTTCAGTATCCAACCAGTGAGAGGACAGAACCTCACTGCTTAGACTGAGCAACTCAGAGCATGTGCAGAATTAGCCCTTCAACGTGCCCAAGGAATTTTCTCATGACATAAGGAGGTGACTCTAGGTGTGACCTGAAATACAGTTTTGGACTTCAGTGGAATTCCGACATGGAAGGCCTGGTTCAGAATCTGGCCATGGGTCTATTGCAAAAGTGGAAGAATATCTGCTCTAAATTGAAACTTACAGTTTTAAGGTCGTGGCTGTAAATCTAGTTCTAGTTCTTTTCCTCAGAAGTATCGCCTACAAGTTAGCAGTCATCTCCTTTCCCCATTGCCTCACATGTGTTTGCTGCAGTGAAACTGCTACTGCTCCCTTCAGCTGGAGCACAGGTGCCCACAGTGTTTTAGTATGATAAAACAGCTTCAACTGAATGTTAATTCCTGCCAACCAGCACAGCTCCCCGCTCAACTCCTGCCCCTGAGATGTTACGTTGTTGGCTGGCACACTCTTCCCAAGCCTGCTGCTTCAGGAAGCTACCACCAGTCTTGCAGAGGCTACCAACCCTCTCCCATTGGGCCTTAATCTCAGTCAAGGCTCACCACAAGGGAGACAGACTTCCCCAGAACCAGAAAGTCAACTCTCTCAGTGTCTCTTGCTAGGACTCTAGACGACAACGTCACAGGCAGCTTCCCCAACCACATCCCCACCCCAGCTATCTTGACTGCATAGTTTCCTGAGGAAGTTCATCTCCTAACCCACAGATTTTCACCTAGCCCAGCATTTTCACCTACTTTTCACCTACTCCCAAATTGCACCTGCTCCCAAGTTCAGCCTTGACACTATCAGACCTATGCAGGGAAAGCAAACTACTATCATCTGGCCAACCAAAATGTGCTTTCTCGTGGCTTGGCCTTTCCCTCTTTACTGAAGTTGCTTAGCAAGCTACATACTATGATAAAACTGCCTTGGGGGTTGAAACTGGCCTGTAAGCCACAGGCTTACCAGTCTTATCTTAAATCATTAACACAAACAATAACATAATTTTTAAACTGGACATCTAAACGCTCTGAATTTTTACCATTCCATTTAACAAGCAACCTACCAAATTCCTGTTCCACAGTCAGCACAGATCTTCACCCTCCCCTCACCCCCCTGAAGCATCTGCCCGAGAGCTGTTGCACTCTAACCTGAAAAATAATGAAGTCTGGTTTCCTACAGATTTCTATCCTACGTCATTCCCTGCCACAATGAGCCAGTTGTTCTCCTCCTACTCCTCTACAATGCCCTTGATCAGAATTCTTCCAGTATTGAAATTTGTTTCAATGGGAGTAATGGTGCCAAAGTTCTGGGTGAAGAAAGCAAATAAATGAACATTCATATGGATGGACATCCAGCACAATTGTGTAAAGCTCATAACAGTACCTTTGGCAGCTGTGTATCAATTACATTAACTACTCATTAGGGAAACTGGTGTCCCCCACCATGATCTATACTGTAAAAATCTGAGGTTCAACTCATATGTGTAAGTAGAAATGCTGTCCAAGTGCCTGCTTCCAGAAGCAGGCTCTGTAGAAACAAAACAAATTAAGGGCACTCTTACCTACCATTATGTGACATTCCAACTGAAAGGCACTTTTGAAAACGACAGTATTGGCACTTATTACGATTTTTTTTCTGAATTTTGCAGTTGCGATCGCATTTATCATAGATGAGTTTTAAACGAATTGTTCTTCTAAAAAAACCCTATAAAAAGTTTCAGAAAACAATATGTAATGTTAAAGAATGTTGACTACTAAACTTCAATCACACAGGTAAATTTTTTTCTTTTCTTGTTCATTGATGTCACTAGCAAAACAATACGCAAAGTATAACCTGTCCGAAGGTAAGAATCTATGCAGTGAATTGGTGTGTATGAAGGCATGAACAGAATGGAAAACACGAAAGGAGGGAGTAGCTCTCAGCCTTTTTCCTTGGAAGAGGACCAAGAGCCCAGCGCACCCAAGCAGATTTGCTCTTAAGGATTAAGCAAAACAGTCACATATTGCTTTTGTACACGTTCTCTCAGCATCCTCTGTCAGAATAACCTTCATCTTTCATATGTGTAAGTTACACAGACACACAGATTTACCACATCTTTTCTTCATCCAGCAAATGTGAGAGGTATGATAACACAGCACAGTGTATAGAAAAAGCCAAGGACACAAAAATTAACATTACAGAAAAGCCTATAACTCAACAGAGCCTACCGTGATGTCTTGATACTGCAATGTAAGGTTAGTCTCATACTATGAAATCATAGGGTTAGCAAATTTAGAGACATTGCAACATTCTGCTTCACATGATGTAACAACATGTTGTTTAGGCTGCGGGACACAACTGACTGTGAACTGGCTCCCCATCTCTAATAGATATTCTAGAATTATTCCGTAAGATTTGTATTTGAATTACCATATTTTGACATTGTGCATGAAAGAAAAATGTACACATATACAATTATTTCTCTCACCTTACATTATAATTTAGAAAAAAAATGGAAAACTAAAACATTAGAAGGAAAAAAGAAAAGAATCTCATAATTCATGGGTCATATTATCCCCAAAATTATACATTAATGATAACATTAATTTTTTCCCCACAGACATGCACTTGCCCCAAAACTACAATAGGTACAATACCAAGTGATTCAGGCAGAATGTGGTGGACATGAGAAATTCAGGATTTGTTACTGTTATAATGGAAACATAGCAAACTGGCATGCTTCTCACAGCCATACTCCCAACACAAATAAAACACTAGTGGAGCAAGTAGGCTTAAATTTTTGGTCACAGTTTAGTGTTTTAAGTTGTTTTAGTGTTTAACTAACTACATCCAGAAAAGCAGCACTGAAATTAACATTACAAATTGCCCCTGCTTGATGAAGGTCTGGTATTGAGTGTCCAGTTATGGTATCTGAACTATTTATTTCAGAAAAAAAATCACAGATATGTTTATTATTTAAATAATTATAATGGCTAGAATTATATTAATTAAACATTTATGTAACAAATGTTTGTCTTCATATAATCCTGTAAATAAAGCAACATGATTTAAGTTCTTAAAAAGAAAATTATGACTGTACCTTACAACCTTCACAAGCATGTACTCCGTAATGGTAGCCTGAGGCTTTATCGCCACAAATTCTACATTCAATGTTTAATGCTCCACTGGGTGATTCATCTATGCTACCTGGAGCTGTGGCAAAATTAATGGATGAAGGACTGGATGCTGGTGAAAGGGTGTCTAAAAGAAAAAGGAACACTTCATAAATACTATACTATCAAGACTGATACCATTTCTATAGTGAAACCACACAAAAAATGAGCTTGTTCTAAATAATAATCATGAGTTAACAGTCATTAAGTGAACTAATAATTTGGCCATAAGTGTTTGAAAAATAATTAATATTTATATTAACAGTGCAAACACAAAACAAAATACAGGGTGTACCTTGCTGATTTTGATGAGACATACAACGTCAACAAACAAAACGCCTTACTGAAGTAATTCTGGTAACAAGAACTAGAAGGGTGATAATAGTTCTTGAGGATTCAATAAATACGCGCCACAAAAAAAATACAAGAAAATCAAGCTTTTGGGATTTTCCTGTGTTCCATTTTTTAGTTTGAATTTTTCAAACATTTCTCATTTTGATGTGAACATGAAATTTTTTTATCCCACAACTTAAAATAAGCAACTAAAAAACCCCTGAATTAATATTTGATTTAAATTGAGGAAATTTTCTTAACCATAAAAATGCACATATACCGTCTCCACAAATAACGTGAATTTGAAACTGAAAAGCAGCATTCAATGTGTATCTACTGCTCAAAACAAACAGTACAAAATATAAAAAGAAAAAAGACCAAAACCACAATGGAATAGAACCCCCCCTCCCCATGACTTCCAGTTTGTATCACAATATCCGTTCAACCTGTCAGCTGCTCATTCCAGAAAGGCTGTTAACAGCTCATCTTGCTGTTACATCTTCCACCCCTTGTGCCATAGCATTGAGCATCAGATCTATTGCTATGGTATGACAAGAGCCATATTCCTAGCTCACGCTGAGTTACACTTAAGATACACTTAAGGTTCCCCTGACTTTTGAAGAGCTACTCATAGTTTTAAATGATCTAAATTGAGGCTTAAAAAGCAGTTAGACAACTTCTCTTTCTAAAGAGATTTTCTCAAAGTGAAAGCATGCTCCTGCACATCAGTAGAAAGGCTGAACAGATATTAAAAGGAAGGTAACACAAATGTCTGCTCCTAAGATAATCTAGCAATAGAAGCCTTGCTCAGATACATTATGTTTTGATTATAACGGGAAAAGCACTTCTGAGTTGTTGTACAATGAAATAAACTCTTCAGACATTTTACTACTAGATGAAAATGTAACAAAACTAACACGTTCCACCTTAATTATGTCAATTAATATTTCCACCTTGTTTGAGGAAAATATTTTCTGAGGCCAGAATTTCTTTTATCTTCCATCTTGCAACTTGCACCACAAGACTTTAGTAAATCAATGGGTGTGTTATTTTAACAGAAAGATTAAGGAACACTCATGAATGTAGGTCAGCAAGTATTATGTCGGAAAAAACCTTGGCATAGAACTCAAAGTCTGCATTGCCAGCACTGCCAAGCCCACAGGCATCATGAACAGCCTAAAAAAACCCAGGATTTTTTTAAAGTGTGATTTTAATTTCTTTTTACTTGCCTTATGAATTTGAGCCTTGAAAGTTTACATTTTCTGTCTTCTCTAACAGCAAAACTGGAACATTTTGCAATGAACACTGAATACTCAAATCAGAAGATGACACTAGAAGCTGATCTAAATTATTGTAAGACTTGTGCCCACATACAAAAAAATAATTTAAAAACTTCATGTCTCAGAAGTACTGTTAAAAACCCAGCACATAACTTTTCCTGTAGAAGGCATCTTTCTAATGTGAGGGTCTGCAACAAAAAGGGACCCAAATCATATTCCTACAAACATTCCTTTGGGCAATAGTGCCAAGAGGCAGCTCTCCCTTCTCCCTTCAACACTCACGCTATTCATTTCAACCACTTGAGCACAGAGGCACACCTCACTTGTATTAATGAGGGCTTTTTGTAAGGTAAAATAGTGATCACAGCCTGGGAATCGATTTAAAGTAAGAAACCCCCAAAACTCAACCAACCAGGAAGTTAAATCATAAACTGCTTAAAATGGCTGTACTGCTAAAACATTTGTAAAACCACGGTTTCAAAAGGAATATCTTACTGACATTATTGCAGTGTCCCATACCACGTCAATGATTTCCATTTTGATCTCTCAAACAAAGCATCTCACAAAGATCTTTTGATAAAGGCTGTGCAATGTATTAGCACTCTGAGACTGTTACTTTAACCAGGGTAGAAGTCATTAGCTGAACGCTACTCTTGAGAAGGGGGAGAAAACAGCATGTTCAAAACATCAGTATGCTAAAATACACTGGAATTCTAGGTGAGCTTTCAGGCTTAGATGATAAATTTTTGGCAAACATTTCACAATACTTTTCAAATATATGTGATTTGAAGAAACTTTTAAAAATGGGGAATGCCTTTAGTGCAATATTGTGACTTCCTATATGACTACAACACATAGTAACTTCTTTGCTAGTAATAGTGATTTTTAAAAGTTGTTTTGAAAAAAGTGTTGATACTAATGTTAATTTAAAACAGCAATTTCACATTACAGTCATTTTTCAGTGACATTTGACTAATAAATTATCTTTAGCCTTAAATATTTTAAGATGATGCTCTTATAATCTTATATATTTCTAGTGTCACTTAGTCATAAACAACAATTATTACATTAAAAAAGTTTTTCATTTCTATCACTGTGTATTTATAAAACAAAGTTTGATGGTAAACCAAAACTCTCTTACCTGTTATAACTGATCCATCAGATCCTGGACCATTTCCCAGTGACTGGAACTCTGTTAAACTTAAAGCTCCAGAGCTATCATCGCCTAAAGACTGAGAGAGGTCTTGAATGTTCTCCATATCTTGTAGGAACTCTCCAGATAAAGGGCTGCCTATATCATCCTCCTCCAAGGGAGTAAGGGGATAGAGCTGGTTTTCAGTGTCCACCATCTTGATCAAGTAGAGCAGTCACTTAAAAACTTCTTTACACTGGTCAAAAAATAATTTAAAAAAAAAAAAAAATCCTGTTCTTACAAGGCCAGAATATATATTTTTTTAATATTTGAATCAGTTACAGCACACTGAATACATGAATTCTAATCCAATAGTGAAATATTATACAATGTTCTGTTGCTCCAAAGCTTTATGCAACATGAATCATCAAGACGACAGGGAAAAAAAAAACAACCCACAAATACTTCAATATGAATTAAAGTTATGACAAGATCAATCTGTAGATTGTTGTTTTCTCTCCTTTGCTGGTAAAAGTTATGTATTGTGTTTCTATAGCAGGCATTATGCACTTCATACCAAAATCTACAGAAAAATAGCACGTATCAATATGCATACATATGAAGTCTGAGCAGTCCTTTCTCACCTTATCTAAGGGGTTTAGATATGTTGATTTGGTCCTCTGTTCTCCTCTCTTTTAAATTTGTTTGATAAGTCTTATGACACTGCAGAGAACAAAATACCGTCTTACACTAAAATCTTTGTAGAAGTGGGCCGAGCTAATACATTTTGACATACTTCGGTCAAAGAACATCTTCAGCAAGAGTGCTCCAGCACATACAATCTAATGTATCTGTCATTCCTTGAGTTAGTTTTATTTCCTACAGTGAAGTAAGTTTTTAAAGTTGCCTTCAAAACCAGCCACCAGTGTCATCAACTTTGAGTGACAGCACAGATTCCTAAGAAAATGTTGCAAATTTTAATTCCTCTTCTATTGACTTGTCAGGTAGGGAATTAGTAAAGGTACGGCAGAATGTTACTACTGCTGCATAGGTATACTTCTGCTAAAAGAAACTCATCTTTACACCGAGTAACTTGCATTATACTCAGTATGTGGACAAACGCACACTGCTGCAGTCTCGTCCATGCAATGAATATGCATGGGCAGTTAGAGAAGCTCTGGCTGTTACTGTGGTTACCGCTCAACACTGGCCTTTGCAAAGAACACGTGCTCACTACAGTTTATTGTGAAGGCTGAAACTGCCAATAACTGGCTATATGGAGACATACAAATGCTGATTTTACAATGTAAGTGCTATGTTATGATAAAAAAAAAATAAATCTTCCTTGATGTTTATTTAAAGTTTCAAATATGAGCTAGTTAGATTCCTATGACACTAAACATTGTATATTAAGAAATCAATCCTTTGCTTTGATAATCTGTGACAGATTCATCCTATGAAAATCAGGCATTTATTCTGGAGAAAAAACAGGGGGGTTTGGCTTTGTAATTGACCAAAAGGGTACAGTTAAAAGCACTGACTACTGCTTTACATACTGATGACAATAGACAGCCATCATTTGTATTCAGTTGTATAAAAAAACCTCCAAAATGTTTTGAAGCAAAAATATCTACAATCAAGCCTTTTATCCCCAGGCTGATGGCAAAAGTCTGTCTTCAATTACATTTCCATATCTTTACAGGGTATTACACAGATGTAACTGAGGGCAGAATGACCTACGCTGAAGAAGATTAAATGTTACGCTTGTAGCAACCTGCAATGTGCACACAGTATTTAAATTATTTATTTTTCAGGTGCACTTATCAGTGCACACTCCAACTTCTTCCTGCTGTTTAATGGAAAACTAATGGTGCATATATAGCACTCCTATAGTGTTCTTCAGTGTGCTCATTACATGACTGTAAGGCAAGACAAACAAACAAAAATCTGTATTACATGAGGCTTTCTATTCCACAGTTTGCATCCTTCTAGATAATCGATGTTACTTAAAGCTACTTGTCAAAGCTTTCCTTTGATTTTCAGAGTACCCAACTTTTGTAACTGTGATACCAAACGGCTGTAGTGGTACATCCTATGTACTCATTATTCGTGTTTAGCCAAGTGAATAGACATAAAATAGACATAAATAGACATAAAAATGTTAACCCCTCAGATACAAGGGGAAATTGAAATTGCAGTGTAATCACAAACTCTGATGATTAGAACAAAACAACATGTTTTATATAACCTTGGGCAATTTATTACAGCTGTGTGCACCATTGTACCTGGTTTTGAAAGGAACTATGTTGAGGCTAAAAAAAGAGTTTACTTAAATAGTGTCTAGTTAGATTATCTTTCCTGCAATGCATTAAAATAATACTGTTATAGTATTTAGCTTGTGGCACATTTTTTTCCAACCCAAATACTTTGCTTTGTAGAGCAAAGATACAGATTTTTTTTCCCCAGTGTAATAGTGTACCATGTACCTGGAAGGACAGAACTAAAGGAGTAGTAGACACAAACACATAGCAAAATCCAGTGCTTCTACACATTTTACTCAGTTCACACACTGAAATGGAGTTTGTTATGAAAGTAAACACTGAAGATTTCAGGATCTGACCAGCATAAATGAGATGACAAAGTTTTCTGAAGGTTCATTGTATTTTGACTAGTAAAACTAAGCCAAATAATAACAGATAGTTCTGAAGGCTGAACACTGGAAGGAATCACAAATTGTAAGAATCAGATCTCTAAATATCTGATTTCATAAACCAAATGAGATAGAATTTCACTCTCCCTTGAGTAGGAAAAACCCAGATGCTGTCACCATTACTAACTTGCCCTCTCATACTACAAGGACCCTTAGTAATGATCTATTTACCCAATTTCTTTGAAACAGGATAATACTAACTAGAAAAGGAAAATATGTTCTGTATCACATAAGAATATCTAGGAGACTAAGAATGGGAATTTATCCACAATTTCTAACACCAGTTACAGACAACAGATATGTTACTGTTGATTTTACTTGGATGTGTCACGTTGCTACTCTATCACTGTGCACAGCTTGGCTGTATTTAAAAATAACAGTCAAATTTAAGTTTTCCAATTTGATACATTAAATACTCTTTAGGACATTGTGCCAGATTGCCAGCACTGTAATAGGTTATTTATAAGCAATACAAGACTTTTCATGTACATCTCAACTTCTTTCTGAAAGGCTCACTGGAAAGGCTGGGGCAGCTTTTATTTTAAGAGCATCCAAGCAATTGTGATGCCTAATTATTTTACAGCGCAACAGAACACTATATTGGAAAACTGGAACAAAATAACTTCTTTCACATAGAGGGACTGAAGCGTAATTGCTATCAGTTATAGTGCCCCTACAGAGTTTCCAGTAAATTCCAATCATCACTTTCTTTTAAAGCTCAACAGTTGTCCTGTCTCCAAGAACCACCTTCGTTTCTCTTATAAATCCTACTGGCTTGTAACCTGACAAAGTATTAAGAAATATCTACATTTGATACTCATAAACCTGTCAGAAGACATAAAGTAGAAATTGAAATGACTGTAACATACATGACCATAGTTGCTGAAGAAAAAAAAAAATCAGAAATTATATGAATGAGGACTCTAAATAAAAGACTACTTAAAAATAAAAAAAAATTAGTCTAATGCATTAGGAACATATGGTCGCATAGCAAAGGAAAACTGCACAGATTATTGTAGATTATCTGACAAAGATTTTACCACTAAACCATTTGCGTTATTCAGAGCGACACTTCCAATCTCATGAAGACTCAAGATGCAGAGTGCATTTACAAAACATTACTTCTACAAAGTAAGAAAAAGAATCAACTGCTAACAGTTCTGGTTAACATCATCGGTTAAGTCTCTGCCAATACTTTCAGTCTTGCAGATTTTTGTACAATTTCTCTGTTGAGGCAGCATTAACCAGCTCAGTAACACCTGAACTAACCACTGTTTGCTGTTAGTTATCTAACAGACTCCAAAACATTACGTTATGCACCTGATCTAACTGGAAATAATACATTGCAGTTCAGAAATGAGAAATCACTTTCATGGATTTTATTTGTGAAAATGAAGTTAAATTGCTGTCCCTGTGACATGGCTATTCTGTGGTGAGGGAAAAGAGTAAAGAAACATTGATGTAAGTTGTTTTTGTAATGATGGCAGAGAATAATAACAACTGTTCTCTGGCAACCCAAAGGAGACTACCAAATTTGTCTCCCTAAGGAGCCTTCAACAAAAAAGGAAGAAAGGAATGGCAGAGCACATGATCAGCTCCTCCACTGTGCTCTCCATGAAGTTCTCCCAGGCTAAAACAGTTGTTCACAGCACAGAAACATCATATTCGTCTGCAGGTATGTAGCAAGAATACTCTGTCCCGGGATAGCTGGGGAGGTTCCAGGAGGCACTAAGCTCCAGCGTTACTTCAAGTTCCCTACTGAATCACGTACATCTCTCCAAGTATGACTCGATCCAGCACAAGTATTTTTAAAAGATTAAGCGAACACTGAGGCCTACCTTGAAACAAAATAGATATTATTTGATAGGAAAACAAAGGAAAGGCTTGATGGCTGAACTCTGAACATGGCAACAGCTCCTTCAGCAGCGCACCTGGTATTGCCCAAACTGCACCATACTTTTCCACATTTACAGTAAATATTTGAAATTCAGCAGACTTTTTAGCTGAATTTATATAAGAACAACCTAACAGCTAGTGAAACATAAATGAAGTGCTTATTGTTTTAACTATTAAGTTACATACCCTTTTGTACTTTCAAACACTACTAAATTACAGCTGCTTAATCATTACAGCTCTTGTCAGTGATTAACTACCTACCTTAACAAGCATAGCCATTGCATAACCATTTCTGAAGACTGTCAAAATTTGCTAATATTTTCATTACTGAAAGAGTTACAATCTTTTTTTCATAAAGCATAGAAAACCTGTAAGTAAAATGTCTCATACTCATGCAATGAACAGCTTGCCTTCTATCTTACCTGCATTTTGTGCATATTTACACATGTGTATGCTCTCATTGGCAGGTTTCACTTAATATGCATTGATCCTTGTTTTTATGAAAATAAAGCTTCTAAAATAAAAACGGTAATGAGTATGAAGTTCATTTAGGTAGTATTCACAGAGAGTATGTTGCTTTACAAAAAAAGGCGTACAATGTTACAACAGTAGATGTGGTAGCCATGGCGTGATGATTCCACTCAAGCATC